GGCTAGAATGGGAATAGCGGGTCCCAGCCTGCTTTCCTAGAAGAATGTTGTAAGCACCCATGTAACGTGATAGTGAGACTGCTCTGAAGGGCTTGGCAGAAGTGACAAATGCCATCGTGATAGATCTAAGCAGACACTTTTCCAAGATAGCATTATAATATAGTTCAATGCAGATGATCCTCACGTTGTTGAAGTTGACATACTTAAGCATTATGATTCAACAGATGTGGGGCTCCAGCAATGACTGCCTGATGGTACATCTTGAGGTAACATTATCGAGCTTTTGTGGAAACCTCTCATGTCTAATTAGTCGCTGTTTTCTTTCTGCCCAAGCCTTCAATTATTGCTGTTCCAATGTTGCAGAACAATTCAAATATAAAAAGCACACAGGAAACAGTAAAAAAAAAAAAAAAAAAAAAAAAAAAAAAAAAAAAAAAAAAAAAAAAAAAAAAAAAAAAAACACCAAATAATTTAGAATTGAAGAAGCAAACAAAAATACTTTGCTCCTAAAATGACAAAGTAAAACTGTAGGTGAACTGGAATTTCAATAAAATCTTATAAAAAATGACAAAAGTTAGACGTCCTTTAAACCAAGGATTCAGCGAACTTGAATGGGAAAAAAATTAAATCTTTATTTTCACTAACTTCTAACTGAAATCTATCATTTCCTTCAGTTATGAAATACAGGCAACAATCAACAGTATATGAGAAGTACCTGCGACTTTGTCACCAATAGAAATCACAGACATTTAGAGATCATATTACAGTTGCTGCAGATATTTCAAAATAATAATTCGCAGTTACTTTGAAATTACAGAGGTTTTAGAACCACCACTAGACCTTAATTTATGTGTTAATAAAGAAATACCTATATACACAACCACAACATTTCAAAAGTCTCTTAAGAACTATATTTTAACATCATTAGTGTCCTTTGCAGTCCTTCATATTTAGTTTTATGCATTTGAAAACATTGTTCTAAGGAGTCCACATTCTTCACCAGATCGCCAAAAACGTCCATGGTCTGAACAGGGTGAAGAACGCCTGCTCTAAACAAGTCATCAACATCACAGGAAGAGAGCACTTAATTTGAAATGTATGGAGCTGACTTCAACAATCACAACTTTCAGAAAAGGTATATACACTGTACCTCCCAGTATAATTATCGCAAGGAATCAGAAAATGCACATTCATTGTACAATCTAGCTTCTCATGGAAGTCTGCATTTCCCACTATTTCAATCTCCGTTACTGTACATACCTCCACCCCCAGACTCTAGAACAAGTGGTCAAGGAAAGAAAAATAAAAAAAGGTAACTCAAATGTTGATGATACTCAAATGTAAACATGACACCCTTAGCAACTGGAAAGCTTGTGGGAGGGGCTCAGGAGCACACTGGGTTGGAAGAGACTGGGTTGGCAAACCTAGAATTTGAGGATGGTGAGAAGTTGACCTAGCATTGCAGTTTAAAAATGTAGCCCAACGTAAGCCTGGTAAGAAGCTTGGGCTTCATGGAACAGCCTTCCCGGTTGGCCTGGTAACACTTAGCTTGTGACCAGGACCCAGAGACCGGTCCTAGGGTTTACCATCCAAACAGTAATATGGAGGGGCAGAGAGACTTAGAGATAAGGACTCAAAAATATATGTGAAGTAAAATGAAACAGGATTATTGGGCATTAAGAAAAAAGAACTCTGGGAAAGGAATGGAATTTCCCATTTTGGTGTGGCTGAATAAGTACGTAATTTAATAGATTCTAGAGGTTACTACAGAACCAATATTGTTGGCTTCTGAACTTGCCCCTCTGGTCTATCCTCAACGTTGCTGTCAAGTGAATCTGTTCTAAAACGCTATAACTTGCTTCAAACCTTCCTATGGCTTTCCGTCATGCTCAGGATCAAGTCTGGGTTTAAGAAGGTCCTTTATTATTTTGCCCGCCCAGCACCATCTATCGTTATGCTTTTGCGTACTCTGTCTCAACCCGCCGACCAATTTGCAGTCCTCACATGTCTAGGTCTTTGTGCGCACTGCTCCCACTGCTTGGGATACTTCTTTGTCTGGCTTTCCTTTCTCCTCCAGGTTTAAGCTTGGATACCACTTCCTCCCACAAGTTAAGGTTAGGGGTCTTCCCATAGTACTTCTATGCTTATCTGCTCATAGCCCTTATCACATTAATAGTCATCTCCTTCCCCAGACTTTGAGCAACCAGTCTTGTTTGTTGCTAAAGTCCTATCACCTGGCATAGGGCCTGACACTCAGGCTCTCAAGTGGTTGTTGGATGGTTACACTGTGAATCGGGAACAGGATCCCGGCACAAAATCACTGCCATGGTGCGCGTGTGTGTGTGGTGGGGGCGGGGGGGGGGGGGGGGGGTTGGGACTCAGATAAGACTGTTTTATAGATTGCTCCAAAAGTGAGGGGGGCTGGTTAATTTTATCAGAAAAGGTCTAGAAACCTTTAGGTCAAGATTCCCAATATATGCCCTAAGATACACAAGAGCTCATAAAAATCCTAACAGAGCTATTTTATATATTACAAAAATCATAATGGAAATGGCACATATATCTGAGATAAAGCCAGACCAATAACAAAGGATAAAGTTGTTTGCTTTTGGTTAGACTATCAGCTCAGAGTAAAATAGGTTTCACATGATGATTGAAAGCTCAGGTTGGCTGATAATGTATCATAGGAATTTCTGAGACAGGATTGATAGGCCAGATAATCTGGCCATTTCTAATTTCCTGGGGAAAAAAGTGTACCCTAAAAAAAAGATGTCCATAAAGTTTTGTGAAAAGATTGGGATTCTTGGGGCTTACATTCTTCATTATAGGGAATACTAGTCTCTGTAACTGCCTGAATTAGTATGTGTCTTAGACCAGGGACCTGATCCAAGATCTTTGGAGTGTGGGGAGTTTGAGTCATAGACTCAAGGGTCTTGATAATTTGTCCAGGGCCAAGACAAGATTCTCAAGAAGATACTGTGTGGTAGGAAAGAAGGTGCTGCCTGTCTCATGGCAACAAGTGAAGATGGGCCCATCCAACAAGGGCTAAACTTTATTGATTTATTTTTTAAAGTTTATTTATTTTGAGAGAGAGAGGGAGAGAGAGAGAAAATCCCATGCAGGCTCCGCACTGACAGCATGGAGCCCAATGCGGGGCTTGAACCCATGAACCCGTGAGATCATGATCTGAGCCGAAATCAAGAGTTGGAGGCTTAACCAACTGAGACACCCCGGTGCCCCAAAAGGGCTAACTTTAAAAGAAGGAAAAAAAAAAAAAAAAAAAAAAAAAAAAAAAAGAAGAAGGAAGTGGTTTTGTTGCTTCTTTTGGAATTTCAAGTCAAACATTTTTATGTTGTGTGTATTTTGTTGGGGGGGGGGAGTTTTTTTTTTAAGCTAAACTCTTTCCGAAAATGTCTTTTTGGTTTCATACTAAAATAAAAAGTCAGAACACAAATATTTGCATGCCTACGAAATAACAGGAATGATTGGGTATTTCCACATATATGGAAATGTCTCATACACAAGAGGGGATAGTCTAAACTTGGATCGATACTTTCAAGAGGAGAGTGTCTCAGGGACACTCTCACTGGAGAAGCAAAGAGAATTAAGACCAAGAGAAGGTGGGAGAATCTAGGACAACTATCCAGTTGCTCCTTCTTATCTACGCATTCCTTTGTAGTGTTTTATAAGGAAGGCCCTCCCTAACAGTGGGTTCTCAGGCTACTTTAAATTTGCATCATCTGGTGTACTTCCCTCGCAGCATGCTTCACTGGATGCATCACAATAAAACCTGTGCCTGACTAAGGAACATTAAGTATGTACCATGGGCGGGAAAGTAAGACAACTGTGTGTGTTTTTAGATAACTCCAATCTATTCCTCAGGTTTTTCAACTGTTTTCTACAAAAAATAAGAAAGAGACAATGACTGCTCGACAACTGCTTAATAATTCCTTCCTTCTACCCGTTCTGGATCTGTTCGCATACTTTCAAACCCTCTGTCTTTCAAATCTAGACAAACTATTTTAAAAAATAAAACCCATCATTTTATGACCAAAGTGTCACTTAATTAGTTAACCCTATTTTCTTCTGACTCAGAGAAAGCTGATGACCCAGCTGGAAGGTAAGCATGTGACTCACTCTGCAGAGTGCTGGCACGCAATGCCCTGTGAGTAGGGAAAGTAGTGGTCTGCAAAATTCTTTAACATTCCATGGTATAATGACACAGAATCATGTTCTGACTGTGGTGTACTATGTCGCCTAGTGTCACTCTTCTTTTTAAATCTGAATTATTGTAGGTTAAAGGAATGATGATAACAACAGTCTTTGACAAGTGAAATCTATACCTAATTCTGCATCCCAAAGAGTCTAATTCTTACCATCAACATGAAAGGTTTTCTCTGAAACTTATACTTGATATGCTTTCGAACACAGAAAAATCGTTTTTTGGAAAGACTCACCCAGCAAAAACTCTATAGCCTATACAAAATAACATCAAATGAACTTCTGAGAGAGTCATTTTTGCTTCAGTTTGTTCTCTGATCATCATATTATATAGCGATAGACATAGAACATTTCATAATTCTTTTCTAGGTTGGGTTGGGGTGAAAGGGGAAGATCTGGAAAATCAAGAGTATATTAACTCCAATTTTGGCACATAATTATTCAAATAAAATTTTAATGACTTCAGTCAATACAACTGAAAATGTAGTGTCATAAAGGGCATTTCCTGCTAAATTTCAAAATACAGCTTGTGGGCCATTTCTGAGCAGAAGCATCAAATCCTACCGAGTATTCAGTTTATCAACTAAGACGACAGATACTATCATGGTAGGAGGAGGGGAAGAGCAATGATCAACTCACACAATTTGGCTAAGAAAAAAAAAACAACAAAACAATGTAAATAATAAAATAGCTACAGATATTAGTAAAATAAAAATGCAATCTCAAATATCTGTCTCTTAAATTACTAGAAAAGAAATTACAGATAAAGTTACAGCAAATACAGTCTTCACAGATCTGGGTAACTTTATTTGCAGTTTATAGTGATTTTTAAGCCCTATATCCAATGAAACCATTTTTAAAAGCTCTATGAGGAAGGGAAATTTAGATGTCTATTACCCTTTACTTTAAAAAAGAAAAAAAAAAAAGCTTAAATTTCTGAATGAGCAAGATTCACTTTTGCAGGTAGAGGCCCTGCTTCTTCATGGTCTTCAGCTTTAGATCTAACAACCACAAGAGAGGAAGCTGGATATCTGTTTAGCTTTTGTTCGTTCACAAATTCCAAGTCACCATAGATACTCAGCTTCTGCAAAAGAAAATCAATGCGTATTACAATAGTTAAGAACCTCTCTGAGTACATCCTCAAATAGTAATTTAATCTACAGGTATTTGGTAAAACAAAAACAAAAACTCTACCGACATCCTCAAGAATGAAGAATGCTTTTACTCAATGTTACTGATAAGTGATTCAGCTCCCAATGGATGGCCAAAGAAAACTTTTCCACATGTCCCAGCTTAAAATACATAGAGGTATAGCGACTGAGTATCAAGAAAAATTGCTCAGGTTTCAGTGGACATAAATCTGACTTGCTGTGGCCTCCTTAAACCCCAGAACTAACAGGTGCTAATTTGCTCTGGGGCACGGCGAGAGAGATACTTTCACGACCCTAATGGCATTTAGACCTTGAAGCAGTGACCAGGACCGGTTTCAGTGATCTCAAACATCCACATGGAAGAAGCTACCTAGAACAGGGTAAGTGTAAAATGTGTGCAGAGAAATGAATGGGAGTATATGGACACTCTGTAACCAGCAGGTATACTGATTTTGTGACTACTCTGAATTCTCAAATTCCAATTAAATATAAGGGTACAACAGAGAACTTTTCAAAAGTGTTAATTGATAAGTTTACCATCCAAGTATCCTTTATGAAAAACAACTACTTAAGAAAGTACTCCAGCAAAATAAAAGAATTCAAGAAAGCAAAACACACCGAATACAAGAAACAATAGCAGTTGAGATGACTTAGAAAATGAGAAGAAGGCTAGAACAAAACAATAAAAGGTTCCATTAAGCAGAGATATTTGGAAGATTCTCTTGGGAAAATTTTAAGTAATTCAGGTTTACATTTGCTTTTATGTGACTCTAATCACCACTGTATTTCGTTCTATTTTGCATATTTACATAATCATATAGTAAATGCTATCTACTGGATTTTAATGTTTTTAATATTTTTTAAAAGTTTTTATTTATTTGAGAGATACAGAGAGAGTATGATCAGGGGAGTGGCAGAGAGAGAGAGGAAGAAAGGAGAATCCCAAGCAGGCTCCATGCTGTCAGCACAGAGTCTGACGAAAACTCACAAACTGTGAGATCATGACCTGAGCTGAAATCAAGAGCTGGAAGCTTAACCGACTGAGCCACCCAGGCACCCTATTTTTATTTTTGAGAGAGAGCGAGCGAGAGCGAGAGCACACATGTAGGGGTGGGGGGTGGGTGGGAGGAGGGTCAGAGAGAGAGGGGGACAGAGGATCTGAAGCAGGCTGTGCACTGACAGAGAGCCTGATGTGGGGTCTACCGAACCATGAGATCATGACCTAAGCCAAAATCGAACACTTACCGACTGAGCCACCCAGGCGCCCCTGGATTTTAATTTTTCAAACTAATCTATTAGAAAAGCACAGAGGGATATATAAATAATTAATATTTACATTTTATTGTCAAGGGTCATGATAACTAATGAAAACTGAGAGATAGACTACGGGAAGAAAGGAGAAGGTAAGGAAGTATGAGGAGTTCAAGTAAATCACTAGAAGTATACAAAATTCAACATTACAGGGGCGCCTGGGTGGCGCAGTCGGTTAAGCGTCCGACTTCAGCCAGGTCACGATCTCGCGGTCCGTGAGTTCGAGCCCCGCGTCGGGCTCTGGGCTGATGGCTCGGAGCCTGGAGCCTGTTTCCGATTCTGTGTCTCCCTCTCTCTCTGCCCCTCCCCCGTTCATGCTCTGTCTCTCTCTGTCCCAAAAATAAATAAATGTTGAAAAAACAAAATTCAACATTACAAAAACAAGAGCATGGAGAGACAAGGTGAGGTGGGACAGAGTATAAGTGAACCAAGTTCCTCATTCTTCAGTAGGAAGACCTTAGATGATGTCTGAAGTTGATAAAACAAAAAATGGAAGATAAAATAGAAGATCAAAGACAAAAATAAAAATGGAAGATAAAATTAAAAAGTGGCAGCTACTTGGAAAAATTGTTAAACTATTAACTGGTTTATCTGAGAAGTGAAGAAAAGGAAGACAATTTAATTCACATGCATTATTACTTCTACAAGTTAAAAAGTAAATTAATAAACGTGTATTTGGGTTTTAGGCCTCGTTCTGCCACTAACCAGTTATGGGATCATGGATAAGTTACTTAAATCTCTCAAACTCAGTTTCTTAACAGAATTTGCATTTAAAAGCTGTGGCATTTACACTGTTTTCTGATTTTCTGACTCTTATCAGACTTAATACTTCAGAACAGCACGGTTTTTGGTCTTCTTTAAGTTAAAAAAATAATGCTTATTACAGTTTTTAATTTTTTTTTAATTTATTTACTTTTAGAGAGAACACAAGCAGGGGAGGGGCAGAGAGAGAGGAAGAATCCCAAGCAGGCTCTGTGCTGACTGTGCAGAGCCTGACTTAAGGCTTGAATTCAGGAAACTACGAGATCGTGACCTGAGCTGAAATCAAGAGTCTGATGCTTAACTGACTAAGCCACCCAGGTGCCCCCTTATTACAGTTTAAGACATATTTACTCTACTTCCCAGGTCTTGGAAGCCTTTATCATTCCATCTTGATCATAATATTCTCAATTGTATCTCTAGTGCCTTGAACAGAGCTTGGCCCATATCAAGTTACTCATAAATGTATGTGATATACTAACATGAATGTTATTAGGAGTCTTCTAAAAGCCTTTTTTCTTTGTAGAAAACTGCATCTTATTTTGCAGTTAGAATTCTGAACAAAATAAACAAAACCCCCCACAACATACATCCAAACCTAATGTCAAATGTGGGAAGAAATAGGGTTTGAGGCCCTTAGATACTGCCTTAGAAAGACAGGAGAGGAAAAAACCCACTAGGTATCAGCAGAGGGAACGAGGTAGCCCAGAGCCACTCAGGGCTACTAGGAGAGCCATGGGGACACTATGCTGAGGGCACAACTTCTGCAAGCAGAAACTCCTCATCTACTTTTTTTTTTTTTTAACGTTTATTTATTTTTGAGACAGAGAGAGACAGAGCATGAATGGGGGAGGGTCAGAGAGAGAGGGAGACACAGAATCTGAAACAGGCTCCAGGCTCTGAGCAGTCAGCACAGAGCCTGACGCGTGGCTTGAACTCACGAGCCGTGAGATCATGACCTGAGCCGAAGTCGGACACTTAACCAACTGAGCCACCCAGGCGCCCCCTCATCTACTTCTTCCACACGGGAGGCATCCTCGTCACCCTCAAGGGGAGGCTCTTATCAAGAAGAGCAGCACTGGGTTCCTGTGCTGCCACTTCATCTGTATCAATGCCCGGGCCTAGTTTGACCATGAGGTAGAGACAGCTGGAGTGGGCCTGGGGATCCTCAAGTGGCAGGCCAGAAGACAGGAGTGGAGTTTCAAATACCAGCGCCACCAGATCCTTGACAACCTTATCATTCTTATGTGCCTCTGCCTTTTGGTGCAGTGTCTGCACAATGGGGTGGTCAGTGTTAAGCTCCAGGGGCTTTCTGGCCATCCTACTGCCCATTGTAGAGTTACCCCAAAGTGCCTGGGATATGATCTGTTCCGCGTTAGCTAAGTGCATTAGTCATAATGCAGCAGGGTGAAGACGTAAGCCTACTGGAAACTGTCACCTTCTTATCCAAGATTTCTTTCATGAGTTTGCAGAGGTTCTCAAACTTGGCCTTACTCTCCTCCATTTTCTTCTTCTCTTCATTCTCAGGTAGCTCACGCCCTCCTTGGTAACAGACCAGACTTTTCATATCAAACTCCTTGAGCTGCTACGTGCAGTATAGTCAGTAGGCTTGGTCATCTACCTTGAAGCCCTGCTTCCACATTTGCTCCACAAGAGCAGAGTTGACAACCTGCTCTTTGTTCTCACCAGTGATGTAACAGATGGACTTCTGGGTCTCCTTCATGTGAGAGACATATTTTGACAGAGAACTCACCTCATCTCTAGACTGGGAGGTGTGACAGTGCAGCAGCTGGGAAAGGAGTTGTCAATTAGTCAAGTCTCGAAGGATTCCAAGTTTTAACTTTTTAGAGATTGGCTCATACAATTTCTTATAATTCTCCTTGTCTTCTGCCAGCTCAGAGAAAAACTCAAGGCACTTATTGACAATGCTTTTGCAAATGACCTTCGAGATTTTGCTCTACTGCATTCTCCGGAGATGTTGAGGGGCAGGTACTCAGAGGCAACCACAACCATGGATGAAGTTGAGATACTCCCATAGCAACTCATCACAGCTGTTCATAATGAACAGATGGCAGATGGAGAATTTGTTATTTTTCTTTTTACTCTTGCTTTCGAAGGTCAAAAGGAGCCCAACAGGGGATGAACAGCAATGCTCTGAGTTCCAATTCATCTTCTAGAGGTAAGTGCTTGATTACCAAGCGGTCTTCCCAGTCATTGGTAAGGCTCTTGTAGAACTCTGCATATCAGGTGGTATCATCAGGTTTATGGTCCAAATGGGCTTAGTCTTGTTCAGTTCTTCCTGACAAATATATTTCTCCTAAGTCTTATTTTCTTTTTGTTGTCCTTCCTGCTATCATCCTCCTCATCTGAGCCTACATCTCCAGTCTTCGGCTTCCCCTCATTATCCTTATCTTCTTTCTCACCTTTCTCTTCCTCTGCCTCATTATCAATGATTTCTCTCTCTTGTTCCTTCTCCAAATAAAGGGTGATAACATAACCTATGAACCGTGAGTGCTTCTTCACCACTTCTTTGACCTGACTCTCCGAAGTACTGTGTCCGGTCTTAAAGTAGAGGATCACTTCGGTAGCCTAGCCAATGGGCTCACCATGGTCTGCATGTACAGTGAAGGAGCCTCCAGCAGAAGATTCCCAAGCATACTGCTCATCATCATTGTGCTTTGTGATCACAACCACTTTCTCTGCTACCAGGGAGGCAGAATAAAAGCCAACACCAAACTGTCCAATCATGGCGATGTCTGCACCAGCCTAAAGAGCCTCCGTAAATGCTTTAGTACCTAACTTGGCAATGGTTCCCAAATTACTTATGAGGTCAGCTTTGGTTATGCCAGCCTGTGTCCACCAGAGTCAGTGTTATGTTCCTTGGGACTGGGATGTCAATTTTCAACTTTTTAGCACTGTCCAACTTGGAAGGGCCTGTCAGGCTCTCATAGTGAATCTGGTTCAAAGCATCAGAAGCATTACTGATCAACTCCCAGAGGAAAACTTCCTTGTTGGAATAAAAAGTATTGATGACAAGAAATTAGAATCAGGCAATTTCTGCCTGGAAGGCAAAAGTCTCCATCTTCTCCACTCTTGGTACACTATCTCAGGCACCATAAAGGAGAAAAGCTACATGCACTACAGACCAGGGCGGGCAGGGACTGTGTCTGGCTCACACTCTGCAACGAGGCTGCACAGGAGTTGCTCAAGAGAGATAAAACCCTTTCTAACTGACCGCCTGAAATCAGAGTATTACGATCTTGAAAAATAAGAAAAAAGGAAGCACACAGATGGGAACACTGAACAGCATCTATATCACCATCTGTTGCAACAGAAAATTTCCCTCTGATCTCTAGGAATGAAAAATCCAATACTGCTACATCCTGATCTCACATGTCAAGTTTGACCTTCCTGACAAGGGCCACTATGAATGACGACTCTTTATCTTAAATGGATAGCTCAACAAGAGAAAGCGTCATGCCATGAAATTTCAAAAATGACATAAAAACTGTGAAATAGGAAAAAAGGAGAGAAAAGAGAATCAAAATCTTTATAAATGACACTGCTTCAAGATCAACCAAACAAATGAAATTCTTTGCCAACTCTTTCTGGTCATTATAATCAAATGATAAATGATGAGTACCTACTATGTGCAAAGCAGGCTAAAGATAAATTATTACAGAGCTTTCCTAAATAAGAAAAACAAAGCTGCTCATAAGTTTCTAAGACCACACTCTTGACCTCTTAACCACAATTTAAAGCTTTGTTGTAGTGACCGAAAAGGAAGCTTTTTATATTTCATGTTTGAGCTCTCAGATACCAGATCAGTACTGAAGAGAGACTCTCAGCAGACTTAAGATTTCCTACAAACACACAGGATTATATATGTAAGTAATTTAACAACATGTAAGTAACATGGCTCACACGTGAGTTATACTTGTGGAACTTAAAATGAAGTCTCCTGTTACTATGGAGAGGGGTCAGAAATAGTTTGTGTTTCAATAATAAAATCAACAAAAAGGCTTTATGAAAGTAAAGTTTTAAAATAGGTGGCTTTTGGCCAAGAAAACCAAGTAATTTTTCTCGTGCTAAGTTTTCAGCTATTTTTTACAGTAAATAGAGGAACAAATACCAGGGACAGAGATATTTTGAAACAAGAAACAAAATATTAACAATACGTATTAAAAATTATTATTATTAAAAATTTTTTAACGTTTATTTATTTTAGAGACAGAGAGAGCACAAGTGGGGGAGGGGCAGAGAGAGCCAGAGACAGAATCTGAAGCAGGCTCCAGGCTCTGAGCTGTCAGCATGGAGCTCGACACAGGGCTCGAACCCACAAACCATGAGATCATGACCTGAGCCAAAGTCGGACGCTTAACCGACTGAGCCACCCAGGTTTCCCAATATTAAAAATTATTTGTGCTGAAAAGAAATCTGCTAAAATGGAAACACCATGATAGTTTTGGATGGTGACTGACTTTTTTGTTTCTTTATACATACTTTATAAATTTCGACAGTAAATATATGCAATTTTTATAATGAGAAAACAATAGTTAAAACTACATTATTACTTAGCCAAAGTTTGGATTCGCATTACAAAGTAAAGCCTAAGAGCAGAGAATCTAAGCGGCTGTTTTCCACACGTTTTTCTAGAAAATTTATTTTCTTAGAAAAGCACAGGTCCTTTGAAGATGGAGCCATAATTTTGATTGTTAAGGATATGCAGTAGAGTTCTAGAGAGGGGTGAGAAAGTAACATCCATATGGCAGGTATCTGGGGGGAATATACCAGCTGCCCACAGGACTCTGCGTGGTGCTGATGCCTTAGGTTTTATGATCACAAGCGTGTGGGGGCATATGTGGCAACAAGTGAGGTGTTTCCCCAAAGAACTTGGAAAACAGGAGAGAAAATTTCTCACAGAATTAAAGCTATACAATCAAAACAAAATTTATCAGAGCAGAGACAACACCTGAACAGAAGAGAAGATCAAGAGTCATCTAAAAGGGAGGGAAAGAGCCCCAGGTCTATAAGATGTAACCAAAGCCACGATGAGAAGCAGTCATCTCCACTAAGTCAAGTAAGGCGATAAGAGAGGAAAAACTATGAAATGTCCACCTATGAACTGTTTAGATAGGAGAGAATTTGAAGATCCTGGTGCAAAAACATGAACCACGTGGTCTGGGTGGTATCTATCTTCCTAGTGTCAAAGAGGTCCCATGGGGAGATCAGTCCTGAGATGAACAACATAATCAACTCTGCTGTTTATGATTTCAGGCTAACTAAAGACACTTCAGGGTACTAGCTTTGGAGTCAGATTCCCCGGGTTTAAATTCTGGTTCCACCACTACGGGTAGGTGACACTAGGGAAATTAAACACTCTCTTTTACAGTCTTCCTACCTGGGAAATGGGAATGATAACAGCAGCCATCTCACAGAGTTCCTGAAAGGACTCCATGTGCCAATTCAGGTAAAACACCTAGAAGGGTGTCTGCGAGAAAGTGCTCAACGTCAGTCAGGCCTGGGAACCAGGATCCAGCTTGTGGTGGACTTACAAAGTACATTCTGCCTGAGGCCAGCCATTCAGTCCTTCCCGGCAATCTCCAGACCAATCTCTATGGAATCTTGGGGATTCCAGACCAATCTCTATGGAATCTCTATGGGGAGTAAGGAGAAGGAGCTGTGCTGACATACAAAAAGCAAGGAACGAAGTGCCACAGGGTGGGTGGGGATCAACAAAGATTTAGTAATAGAGGTTTGTAGCTTTGTTGTCACGAGGGTTTAGAGAGAGCATGGGGCAGCTCTAAAGGAACAGGCCAAGGCATTCCTATGTTACATAAGTAATTTCGGTTTTATCAGGAATAAAAAAAATGAGTAAAATATGGACAACAGAACTGAACAAGAACACAAGTAGATAATGTAGCCAGAGGATGTTATTAGTATATTCATATCATAAACAGATGAGTTCTATAGAAATTTACTCATTCTCTAATACTTCCACAGTTCAAGGTTCTTCCTAATCCTAACTTTATTCATTTTGTTTAATTTCCTAAGTTCTTTTAATTAAGTCAATTCCTTACAGTCCGTCACTGACAGCTTATTCTTGCCTGTACTTGGGAAAATTATCCATCCTCCTCTCTCTGCTAACCTATACCTTACTAGCCATTTTCCAAAATTCAGGTCAAGACCCCCATTATCCAAAAGCCCTCCCTGACAATCTCCACACAGACTGTGCTTTCCTTAACACTTTATACGTTTCCTATTTGTGCCACCTTATTAGCCATGGGAAAGGTGGTATGTATACAGGAAAAAAAACAGGAGTCACAAGTCAAAAGACATGAGCTGAATTCCAGCCTCAATATTTTCATAGCTGTGCAAATCCAGGAAAGTCACCTAGACTTTGTAAGCCTATTTACTCATCTACAAAATGGATAAGAAAACCTGCTCGAGAGTATTGCTAGACATAGAAGATATGTGAAAATATTTTGAACATTTTAAAGAACTCTAAATGTTAGTTACCAACATTATCCTGTCCCAGTTTCTAGCTGCTTGTATCACACAGTATCTTAACAAAAAATATGAAATATCATAATCATTACTCATGTGTAACCTTATATTAAATAAAACCTATCTTTAAAAACTACCTTTCTAGTCTATTCAGATAAGGCTATTATTGTTCAAGCACCATGGTAGGCACATCCTAACTATTTATTCGATTCTATTTTAATTTCTCTTTCTTCTTTTAAGTCTTTTTCTATTACACTTTGGAGGCACAGGAAAACTAAAGTTTCTTTCAGTTGGATTTGATGTCAACAGACATTATTATTCTCTACACAGTCACATAAATAACTTTCTTTTCTTGAAAGCTAAGTTGAGTCACCAAATTATAGCCTTTTCCGCAAACAAAAATCCTTTACACAGTTAGGTTTCTTGGGCCAGTTAAATTTTAATTACCAAGGAAGTCACAATCGTCTTCCACCTCTGTCAGGGTTAGATTACAGCACTCAGTAACTCAAAACCAAATACTCCAGCCATGTCACTTCTAAAGCAGCAATTCCTGCTGAACATCTGTGGCAATTAATTTAAAATTTTAAGTAGTTCTACAAGTCTTCCTTCTTACATATCACCTTAGAAACTGGTATCACCAGGTTCTCTCTATGCTCAAAAAACCAGGGAAAGAGAGAGACACCTTACTCAAACCAGCCAACATATGTGTCACTCTGGTAGCATCACAGAGCACTGGGAACAGTGATTCTTCTGCTGCAAACCTGCCATTTCCATGGGTGCCGACACGCATCTGTGTTATTAAAACCACCTAATCTCTCATTCCATTAACAGAGAGGCCTTGTTCCTCTAGTTAACAAATAAGGCTTTCAAAACAGTAAATCATATGGCTCATACTTCAAACGGCCAAAGGGCTGGAATTAAATTTACCTCAGAGGGAACGTACTGCTCCACAGCCGTGGCAACAGTTGCACAACAAATCCAGAGCAGTACCATCACCGAGAGGACGAGAGTCGTGGTTAAAATCCATCCAGAGTTACTGAAAAACAAGTTAGTCATGTTAAAATTTCCTAATGTAAAAAGAAGGAGATTCTTAATAATTAAAGGCAATCAACCTGATGTATTTAGTTTAATAATACAATTAAAACTTCACATGTACTACCTTTATTTTTAATTTTTCCAACGTTTTTATTTATTTTTGGGACAGAGAGAGACAGAGCATGAACTGGGGAGGGGCAGAGAGAGAGGGAGACACAGAATCGGAAACAGGCTCCAGGCTCTGAGCCATCAGCCCAGAGCCTGACGCGGGGCTCGAACTCACGGACCGCGAGATCGTGACCTGGCTGAAGTCGGATGCTTAACCGACTGCGGCACCCAGGCGCCCATGTACTACCTTTAAAACTATTTGTTAGATTTTTTTTTTTTAAAACATTTATTTATTGTTGAGAGAGAGCAAAAGTGGGGGAGGGGTAGAGAGAGAAGGAGACACAGAATCTGAAGCAGGCTCCAGGCTCTGAGCTGTCAGCACAGAGCCCAATGCTGGGTTCGAACCCATGGACCAATTTACAAAAGCGCATCTATTATGAGACATTCTGTACCCATTATAGCATACCTTAGTAAAGAGATAGTTAAATTTCTCTTATGTTTAAAATATCATAAAATTGGCCAGTTACAAGAATTAGCAACTGAAGTTTTTTCTATAATTGACCTATTGTTTGCCAAACAATAATAAAAACAAAAGTCAAGCTATTTTTAAATATCTAGTAGTCCAGTTCTGAATAAAGTGATACTTAAGGCAGGTAGTCTGATTTTCACATCTGTGCTCATCCGATACTGCCTGATAAAAGGTCTATACTTACCACTGTAACCCATTTACTTGATGGTTTGCCAACACTTGAACATGCTAAAGAAAGGTATGCGGAGTCACTGTGTGTGGGCAAAAGAGGTGGACACTGAAAAATGCACTGCATCTAAAAGCAGGGAACGTCTATATGATGTTTTAAGTATTCCAATTTAGCAAGATAACAGTAGACAACATTTTTCATGGAAAAAAAACAACAACAACAACAACACCCACTTTACATATCCCGGCCCTAACCCGAGTACTAAGGAATTTCCTTCCACGAAATGAGAAGAATATACTTGATATCTGAATTCTAGTGACAACTAGTTAAGCCAGAAAACAGGGGCTCAGTGTACAATCAATCTGCTTCTTCAACTTCCACAATAAAACGATCCTACAGATTCTCAACTATCTCTTCTCTCTTCTGTTCAGGAGTTACCACAGTTCTCCAATCTGATCTTCTATCCTTCACATAGAAGCCTCTTCCTAATACTTAGATTTGATTACTTGCCTGCTCCTATCTAGTTCCTGTCCACCTGGTTTGGTCAAATCCCCGATTCTCCTGACTCTCCATACATAGTAATACACTTTATGTATTTAGTAGGAAGCCAGCATAACTGGAAAAAAAATTAAATCTGCTACAACTAGCAAAACTCTCTATTCATTATTTAAGACTTATTTCTATTTCCTTTGTCAATCCTCCCTTTGAAGGTATATTCCTTGTATTCTGTATATGAGAGATGTGTATGTGATACACAGCAATCACCACTGTTGACGGTTTGCATGTCTGTCTCTACCATATTAGACCTGAGAACTCCATAGAGTCAGAGACTGAAATTCTTTCTTTAGGTTCAAAGTCCCTAACACGGTTCTTGGTACACAATAGACTCTTTGAGAAGAAACGGCAAGTGGAAAAATGAGTTGACCTCAATTTCCATTCTAGAAGCTAAGGGTACCTCCATAACAGCTATACAGTACAATAAAAAGCACTGCAGTGAAGAGCCAGATTCCACTGACTGGCCAAGTGATCTTGCATTCATCATGGAAAACTCATGACCCTTTAGAAAAGACAACTATAGCAGAACAGGACAAGTAAAAGATGTAGGTTTAGAAAAGCTAGGTTTGAACTTTAACATAGTGGGTATATATAACCTTAGGGGTGGGCAATTCACCTCTGACCCACCTACTTATCACAGTGTACTGTTCTAAGAGCCAAATGAGCTCACTGAGGGGGGGAAAACATTAAAAAAAAAAAAAGAGTATTTTTTATTAAAATGTAGAATACTATTGTAATTCATGTTTGTGCACAGAAATTTCTAGGCATTAAAACTCTAGCTATAAAGTTACTTCTTTCATAAATTAAACATTTACAAAATTACTTCTAAAATGTTAGATTTAAAAGAACTACATGAAATATAATGATAAAATGCTAAAGAATGTGTCACCAATAAGCTATCAGGTAGTATATTATTGAGAATAAGCTGTAACTCAAGATTAGGTGATTACTTAGGTTTCCTAAGACCAGCAAACTACAACAAAGATCCTAAATATTAGAGAGAGGAAAAATTGCCCATATTCTGCCAAGGTCCAAAGCAGGTTTAGAGATGAAAGGAAGGGAAAATTTAAAGTTAAAGCCCCATTTTCTTACCCAGTCTTTAAAGAATTTGGTAAAAGGTATTAATTTTTAGGTGCCAAATAACCCTACTGATACCTGACAAAACCTGTCGAGAAACTATTTCTATTGTAAGAAATGACAGAAGTGGACAGTTTAACTACTGCAGTGTTACACTTGAGACAGAACAGCATATACTGGAGTATACACACCGTGAGGGCAGGCATTGGTTTACCAAATGCTTTGTCTGGTGAGTAGATGATTATCAGTAAGTGCTCCAGGCCACTGTCTTTATCTTTTTTTTTTTTTTTTT